TAATCATTACTCAGATAACATTTTGCCAGCATTTTATTGAAAATTTGCTTAAAAATGTTGCAAGCAATTTGTCAACAAGATGAGTCCTCATTTGATGCAATATTGCGAGCAAAGAAACACACAAACTGTAGTAGAGTAACTTTACAGTAACTTTGCGGCAACAATTGTGATAAAAGTGTTTGATTATGGCAATATTTCTGGAAAATTGAAGCAATTTTGCTATATATAATATTATAAAAAACTTGACAAAATTATGGCAACGTGCAAGTCAAATTTTATTTAACAAATGTTTTTGCTATTATTATGGCAACATTACGACAATAAATAAATAAATCATCTTGCTTTACTTTTGCACGAAATGTCATCTCGGTAGCTAATAAATTGCTACTAGGAAATGTGTGTGTGCGTGATGTATAAATGTACATGCAAGTATCCGCAATGTTGAGCTCGAATCTTTGGGATCGCTAAATATAAAATTGTAAGCCCAATTAAATTGCTATGTGGATCAATCATTTCTGCGGAGAAAAAAAAAACGTAAATAAAGACCCGCCAGACGCCAGAGAGTATCAAGTGGCACCCTCTTTCATTCGAATTAGGCATTCTGTCGGGGAACGCGCACATTGCGCACGCGCGATGGATCCGGCACGTGCGAATGTTGATGTTGCTTTCGTTTGCTTTGCGTCGGTGAAAAGCAAACAGTCGTGGCCGCGACTTGGACGCGGTTGTTCTCACGGATTTGGAGGGATTATCGCGCGGCTCGTTCCCCGCACCGCGTCTCGCTCGATCTCTTTCCTCGGTCCATCCCTACCACTTTTGTTGCCTCTGGTCACCGCCGCTGTTGCAATGCTGTACAACCGCTGTGACCGAAGTCTGTAAAGTCCAAAGAGCCGCGGCGTAGAACAGAACGAGGCGGCATTCCTGCACGATCCCGTCCGCGGAAATTAAAATATTGCGGCGACCGAAAAAAAAAAAAAAGAGAAAAAAACAATTGTGCACAATCATACGCGCATGTACGTGCGATTCCGCGTACATATTCCCGCTGCCGCGTGCGCACCCGCGCGCTTCGATGCTCCTGTTGCTGCCGCATCGTAATCCCGAAATAGGATCAAGGATAACGACGTCATAAATTTTTTCGCGTCTACGTGCTACGGCGCCGTACGAGAGTCGAGAAACCGGTCAGTTGCACATTCAAGTAAGTTCTCTCGGTAGATTATCATATTCACTTAAACTACTATGTAAATATTATGTAAAAATTGCAGGACATTGTGTGTATGTATATATATATATATATATATATATATATATATATATATATATATATTATAATAATGATGCAGAATGAGAGATTAAAGAGAGATAATTCAATTTCGATAAGATACAAATATCTTATCGAAAATGCAATTTTTTTTCCAGATACACATTTTCAAGAAAATACACTAACTTTTCGCTTCTTGCAAAATGGTTTCGTTAGTGGCAAGCGTCAGAGCTACGAGCTCTCTTTATCATTTTTGCGCTTGTGCCGCAAGGACATTGACTACGAGCGCGATGCCAAGTCCTAAGGACGAGGCGAAAGAAGTGATCGTCAGTTACTTGGATGGCAAAGATAATGGTATTGCTGTATTAGGATTAAACAGGCCTGTCGCTCGTAACTCTTTCGGAAAGACCTTGATTTCTCAGTTGAACGAAGCGCTGGCCTCTATTAGGCAAAACAACAAGCTGAGAGTGCTGATAGTACGCAGCCTGGTCCCAAAAGTATTTTGCGCTGGGGCAGATTTGCGAGAGAGATTAAAAATGGATAATTCTGAGGTACTGCGATTCGTATCCTCGCTGAGAGAGCTTATGACCGATGTGGAGACCCTGCCAACGCCGGTGATATCGGCCATTGACGGTGCAGCATTGGGCGGAGGATTGGAGCTCGCGTTAGCCAGCGATATCAGGGTAGCTTCTTCCGAAGCGAAGATGGGCCTCGTCGAGACTAAATTAGCCATAATCCCAGGCGCCGGCGGAACGCAGAGACTTCCGAGGATAATCGGAGCAGCCAAGGCTAAAGAATTGATCTACACCGCACGGATTCTGGATGGTGAGCAGGCGCTGCAAATTGGTCTCGTGAACGAAGTAGTTTCACAAAACAAGGTCGGCGATGCAGCTTATCAAATGGCTCTTTCAATCGCGAGAGAAATTTTGCCTAACGGCCCCATTGGTGTTAGGTAAGTTGATATTAATAAATTGTTGATAATTATTCAGTATAATATTGGGTTAGAAACAAGTCCCTCTACAAGTTGGTAAGACTTTTTTGGCAACCTATATATCCTATTTTTTTTAAATTGGCAATTATATCACTTGATAGAGCAACGTTTCAGCTTTAAGAATCTGTATTTTTAATTGCGATACGATGATTTTTTACGTATAATTTTTTTAAATTGCAAGCAATAAAGTCAGAATGTTCCTTTTTACTTAATCTGTGAGTAGCTCGGGAACAAAAAATCGTAGGACATTAAAAAAAAAACAATCTTGTATGGAAAGTTTCAAGCTTTCACGATAGATAATCAAAAATTTGCTCAAATTTTTTTGGGGCACATTACAGACCGATAAAGCGAACAGAAAATTTTTCATTTTTTTCAACTCGTAATTTTCTATATATAAAAATTACAAATTCACATAAATTCAAAAAATATAGTAACCATACGAAAGTAGCGATTTTACGTTTTTTAAAATCCTTTTTTTAAATTTAAATTTTGATCATTTTTAATGAAAATATTGACAGGAAAAGATCTTTTTATCAATTTGTAAAGTTTTTCTTTTTTTCTAACCCAATATAAGAATTTCAAAAATTAATATAAATTATAAAAAGAAATAAGGAGAACAAATAAAATAAAATAAAAATACGAAATAAAAATATTAATTACATAAAAAAGAAATAATATAGAATAAAATAAAGAAAAAAATAATATAATTAGAAAAAAAATAAAGTTTTTTTTATAATATACTAACTTGTAAATTATTATTATGATTTGTAAGGAACAGGTATTTAAACGTAAAGTTGCTTACTCAGAACCATTGATACGATCACGTATTATATAATACACATCACACCATATACGTTTATCTTCTTGTGCTTATCGAGCGCGAGTATACGTGTTTGTTTGTGTGGAACTCGTATTCTATTTATAATTTTTACATTTACTGACAATATTTATTTATAAAAATTTT